TCTCTCTCTCTCTCTCTCTCTATTGTTTTGATCGCACATACAGTACAATACATGCAAAAACAAACTATATTTGCTATTATATACACAGCTTACATTGTATATTTAACCGTTTGTAGTATGTATTTTGCATGCATTTTTAATGTTTAAAGTATAAGCAAAAACATGATCAACACAAACACGCGTTGCTATTATATACAGTATATTATAGCTTACATATAAATTTACTGTACATTATTGCATACTGTATATTTAATCGTGTATAGCATGTATTTTTCATTTATACATCAAAACAATAGACCGGATATAAATCAAAACAAAACTTTAATCCCTTTATATCTATGTCTATGAGCTATGTGTGTATATATTAGTTACTACTCATTCAATACAACTGAGGGGAAGAGAGAGAGGGAGAGAGCGAGAGAGTGAGAGTCAAAGAGAGTGTGAGAGAGACAAATTGCAGAGACAAAGCTATGGCATTTCGCACTACACCTACAGTGAGATTGGGTGTTAAAATGTAAAATATAGAAAGATACATTAGGCGAATCTGTCGAGACGCCGTGCGATGCCGTCATATACGGTACGGGTTATCACATATCGTATCCGTTTTTGCCGGACGAGTTGCGACCGGAGCTCAACGCCAACCTTTGGCTATACAAAGGCGTATTCAACCCACACCTAAAACACGCGCACACTCTAGCCATTACAAGTGTGGGTTTGGTTACCGGTGCTAGCAATCCGTTGGTTGAGCAACAGTCCCGGTATTTCGCGCTACTGATGGCCGACAGGTGCCGATTGCCGTCCGAGAAACGTATGCTCCGGGATAACAAGCGCCAGAAGGCGTATATTATTAAACACTGCCCGACGTGTGACAAAACCGCAATACAAATGCCGTTTATTAAATATTTGGACGAATTGGGCCGAGAAATGGGTGTTAAGCCCCGGCTTTGGAAGTACGCGTTTACTGACCCAAAACTTTGGTATCGCCTATATTTTGGTCCCTGCGTTCCCTATCAGTACAGATTAAATGGTAATTGTATTTATTAGTAATATTATAAAATATAAATGCATAAAAATTTTTATGGTACAGTAGACATTCGATTATAACATGTTGTTGGGGCTGTCAAAAATATGTGTTATAATCGAGTTCTGTTAAAATCGAATATACTTATATATTCATTAAATGACTAAAACGTTGTTATAATGTTGTCTTTTTGGGCCATAATTAACAAAATGTTGTTTAAAATGATTATATTATCGTATAATTTTATTATAACTACTTTTTATTAATTACTTTTATATTTAATCTCAATTTTGAAAGTCTTTCTTCATTTTCTGTCAACATTTTCATGTAAAATGTGGAAAAACATAACACAACATATGCAATGTGTTATAATCGAAGCATGTAGTTATGCTATACAGGCTTAGAAACTTCACTGTTATAATCGAAATCTGTTATAATCGAAAGTGTTATAATCGAACACATTTAACATTACAGTATCCATAGGGTTTGCCCGGGCTTACAAAACTTTATGTTAAAACCGAATTCTGTTATAATCGCAGCTGTTAAAACCGAATGTCTACTGTACATGCTTTCATTATACAATGTATTACTACTTATTACTAAAATTTATTAATAATTACAATAATTGTGAATTAACCCATAGGTCCCAATGCATGGCCCGACGCCAGGGAAGCCATTATGACAGTTAACCATCGGATTAGAGCACCATTTAAAACACGGGCTGACAACTAGTATTTAAATTTGCGCTGTATGTTAATTAGTTTCAAAATAATTAAGGTTAAATAAATTTTGGATTTCAATTGATTTGATCAAATTTACTTTTTTAATTAGAAAATTTATTTATATTAATTACAATTTATTAATATATTTTAATGTACAGTATAAGATAATGTCATAAATCTAATTACGAGTATACAATGTTTAATATTAAAATCCTAATATGAAACTAATATTCTAAATAGTTAAAATTGAATTAGTTTTAACAATATTTTAGTTATTAATTTTAAAACAAAATGTGCCTGTTTACTAATATTAAAATAGCAAAAATAGTTGTGTACTGAATTATTTCAAATTAATTTTTTCAAATTTGATAATTTATTTGACAATTAATTAATTTCTTATACATTATTTACTATACTATACTAATATAATGTATTAATGTATTTTTTATAACAATAAAACATATTATTCTAAATATTTATACTGTTTAAGTATATTCGCATTAATTTTATTAATTATTTTTAAATAATAAAAACCCTATCTAATTTGACACTACCCAAGTTAAAAATAAAATAAATGCGGGCTAAAAGCTTACAATTTCTAGATTGTTTAGAAAATTATAAATTATTAAAATATATTTTAAATATTTTATTTTCTGGCTAATAAACGAAATAATTTGTTATATAAATTTGATTTTGTCACTTGATCATTGTTAAAAGTTAATTTTAAATTATTTTGCCGTATTTATTAATTGACATGAGTTTACTAAAAAAAAGCAAAATTCCTATATTGTGATTTACACAATATTTTTGACAATAAATTTAACATGGTTTAATTTAAATAGTATCCTGTTTGTTGACATTTATTGATTTGCTATCAAAATCCTATTTAATTAATTTGCCTGACCAATATTGATTGTGTCAGCAGCAAAAATTGTCGTCAATAATCTACATCAATTATTGCAAACAAGGTTATTTGAAAACTTTTATAAATAAGAGAATATTAAAATTTTGCTGATAATTTTAAAAAACCCTATTTAATATAATTAATATAATGTTTAATTTAATATATATTTAATATTATAACTTAACGTAACACAAATAATATAATTTATATGTAGTAAATATTTTAAATCATTAATAAAGTGAATAAATGTCAAAATTGTATTATGGAAATTATGTTCTTTGTTTTATAACATTTATAGATTTATTTTTAAACACAATTTCTATTGTTTAAAATTATTTTATTTTTATCAAATATGTTTAAATAATAAATTTTTAATATTTAATAAAATACTTTTACACGTCTACACAGCATTATTTAATCATTGTACATGTTTTTAATAATTTAACAAAAACAAAATAATGATGATAAAAAGAGTGGTCCATGTAAATTTAATAATTATAATATTTCAACACTAAATAACACATTAACTTGAAATAAAATGGACATTAAATACATTTACTTAATGCCATAATTAAATGCTCAATCCCCGAACACAATTTAATGTACTATTATTATATTTATACACTTAAACCTCCCTAACTCAAACTAATAGGGGCAGAAATAATTATTCTATTTATACAAGTTTTTGAGTTTTAGAAAATTCAAGTTATGAAAAAATAATAAATTATTAATAGGAAAACTTCAAGTAATAGATTATATAACTTACTCAAAGTATAGAGGGTTTTATATATAGAGAATTAAGTGTACAATATTTAGCAGCGCAACATCAATTATATTTAGGTAATGGCATCAAGTATTGCCATTTATTATACTATTTATATTATCTAAATTGCAGTAGTTAGTTTATCTATTTTATACAATGTTGTAATAATTATATACATTTATATAATAATTATGTACATGTATCAATATAATAAAATAATTATTATTTCAATTATGGTAGACTATCATCAGATATTAGAAAAATAATTTATCAGAGTTGCAAAATAAACGTTATTATTAAAGGTTAATTAAGGGAATGGCAATAAGATTATTATTTAAACAAGGTTATTCACGGTAATTTATAAATGAGCTACATTAAAATTGTGTGACTGCAATTATTTAATGCAATTATCTGTATATTAAATGATATAAAACTAATGTAACTAATGCAAGTTGGTATTCATTACCCATCCAACACATGTACTATAAAAGTGTAAAATATTTAAAAATTTACAAATTATACTCAAATGTCGGGCAAACGCATAGCGATCATCGGCGCGGGTCAGTCGGGTTTGGGTGCGTTCAACGCCTGTCGGGAACAGCACTTCGACGCTGTGGTCGTGTATGAGAGGTCTGACAGTCTGTGCGGTCTGTGGGCTAATAGAGAGGGGAATGATGGCCTGATGTCGTGCGAGGGCTGCCCACGACTATTGCCGACAACAACACTAAACAGCAGCAAAGAGATGACCGCATACTCGGACTTCCCATTTCCCAAACACTATCCCAATTATGTTCACCACTCGCTTATGGTAAATGATTTGATGAATCATAATCGGTTGTAACTAATCGATATTATATTTATGTATTAATAGAGAGAATACCTGTTATTATATGCGGAGAGAATCGGTATCAAAGATCACGTGAAACTCAGACACGAGTTAATCGGTTGCCAACAAAACGCAGACTACGACCGGACGGGTCAATGGAGGCTAACGGTGCGCGACATCGACAACGACCGGGTGTTCGATGAAGTGTTTGATGGCGTGATTGTATGCACCGGACGTTATCACCGGCCAATTATACCCGACATAAAGAACCGGCACTTATATGCGGGACGTGTTGTGCACACAAACGCATTGTCGGACACGACTGGGTTTGAGGGCCAGCGGGTGGTTGTGTTTGGCGTCGGCAATACTGGCATCGATACGGCTATAGAGATGTCTAAAGTATGCGCTAAAGTAAGTGATAAGTATATATATATTTAAAAGAGTGTAATAAAAATATTAAAGTATGACATGTTTGAATAAATGCTGAATAATAACATTTAATTAAATTAATAAAAGTTTTAATTATTTAAATACTAAAATAATATTGAATTAGCTGATGATACATTCATTACACAATTTAGGTACACTTATCGTGTCGCACCGGGTGTTGGGTGTGGCCCCGGGTGGGCCCGCACGGGCTACCATCGGACGTAATGGGATTGAGACGTTGGATTGAATCGCTGTCTGTGGGCTGTATGTACCCACTGGCCAGTTGGGTGGCCACAACTTATATCAACGCCGCCATATTTAATCACAATCTGTACGGCCTAAAGCCCCGGCACCGGGTGTTTTCGCAGTCGCCCATACTTAGCGATGATCTGCACAAACTGGTCATTAGGGGTGCAATTATTATGAAGACAAACATACAGCAATTTACAGCGACTGGGGTTATTTTTGAAGGTATACTATTTTGTTTAATTTAATTTTTACATGATAGTTTTTTGAACTTAAAATAAAATGTTATAACAAATTAAATCTTAAATATTACTAAATATTAGTTGATTACTATGATACAAATATTTGTTGCATTACCTAGAATCGTTAGTTAAATTATAAAATGACTAAAATTAAGCAGGTATTTAACATTTAACCATCATATTTAGATTAAATTATAATTAATAACAAATATTAATATTAATGAATAGGCGAAACGGTTGAGACGCCGTGCGATGCCGTCATATACGCCACGGGTTATCACATGTCATTACCGTATTTGCCGGATGAGTTACGCCCGGAGCTTAACCCCAATCTTAAGCTATACAAACATATATTCAATCCACACCTTAAACACGCACACACTCTGGCCATTACCAGCCGTATAACACCATTTGGTGCCGCATTACCAACGCTTGAGCAACAGTCCCGGTATTTCGCGCTACTGATGGCCGACAGGTGCCGATTGCCGTCCGAGAAACGTATGCTCCGGGATATCAAACGCTGGAAGGCGTGGGTTATTAGACACTACCCGACGTATGACAAGTACTCAACATATTTTCGATATATTAAATATATGGACGAATTGGCCGACGAAATGGGTGTTAAACCCCGGCTCTGGAAATACGCGTTCACTGACCCTAAGCTCTGGTGGCGCCTATACTTTGGTCCCTGCGTTTCCTATCAGTACAGATTAAATGGTATAACTTTTGTATTTATAATATTTATACATTAACAACCATTATATTGTAATATTTTTAAAAATAATTTTACTTATACTAACCAAGGTTTTGATTTAACCCATAGGTCCCAATGCATGGCCCGACGCCAGGGAAGCCATTATGACAGTTAACCATCGGATTAGAGCACCATTTAAAACATATGCACATAACTAGTAAAAGTTTAAATAATTACACAAGATTAGAGGGTTTTGCAAATGTATAATACAATATTAATGCAAATATAGAGTATTATATCGTATTATCTTGAGTAAAAGTGTTACATGTTAAAAACTAATAACATGTGTACCTGTATTAGTTTTAATAAAAATATAGTTTATAATTATATATCCATATTTTAAATTACTAAATTAAAATTGTTTTATTTTAATATTTATATTTTCAATTAAATTAAAACATTTTTTATTTAATAATTTTTAATTATTTTCTATCCAATGAAATGTTACGAACAAGGTGTTCACAGTCCATGGAAATGACAAGGGTCTCTGTGGCCACCAAGTCGACTAGGGGTGTAAATATAAAATAGATATTTTATTAGTATTTTTAGAATAAATGAGGGAATAGCCATGATCATTTTATATAAAAACTGTATTTATTTAATAAGACCCAAAATGATTAACATTTAACATAAGTTACATTATAATAAACATTACAATACAATTAAGACATAGATCTATGATATTATTCTAAGGCTAAGTTAGACTACATTTTTAGGCACACATAACAGACAGACTTTAGCGGCACTTAAACACCGCTTTATATATTGATTTTTGTTATATAATCATAATTGTAACATGATAGATTTAACCCTTACTGTGCACCGTTAAAAAAACACGTTTCGTGCATCGTGGGGTTCATGTGACCCCAATTTATTTATAAGCGTTTCGTGCATCGTGGGGTCTATTTGACCCCAAATTATTTATGTACGTTGCGTGCATCGTGGGGTCTAATGTATTCGCGCATGTGTAATACAAACATCTAATGGTGTGAACTATGGTGTGGACTATGGTATGGACTATGGTGTAGACTATGGTATGGACTATGGTGTAGCCTATAGTATGGACTATGGTGTGGACTATGTGTGTACAACGTACACAATAAAAATCTATACCCAAATAGACATGCGCGTAATACATCTATATTGCTTGTTTTAGCTATTATTGTGCACTACAGCTATTGGGGTCCAATGGACCCCACGGTGCACGAAACGTTCATAAATTGATTAGTGCTGTTTATGCTAGTAACTTAAACTCACTTATCGTGCACCGTGGGGTCAATTTTAACTAAATCATGTTTTAATCATACTTACAATTAATTAATCTTGATACAATTTTACAAATATTTGAAGATGATTATTTGTGAGGCATTCCTGGAATTTTTTGTGGCTGGTGCTTGTCATTGATTTTTAAATGATTTTTGAACACCCCCTGGGGTCAGATTGACCCCACGGTGCAGAATAAGGGTTAATAAAACAATGTATGTTTGTGTACGTGTATAAGTACGTGTATGTCAAGTTATTATCACGTGCATTACAATTATCTTATTCTATGCATTTACATTAAATATTCAATCAATTGCAACATGATAACTTATAATTTGAAATGTTTAAAACTATCAAATAAGTGTAAAAGTAAATAAATATTAATTAATTATATTTTAATAAGAATATTCTTAAGAATTACGACCATGTCGTAACAGAAATATATACTGGTCATTAATACCTTAATTATCATTCAACATAATAAACTAACTTTTTATAACCTTGATAATTCTTAATTGTTAAGTAAAATAGTAGTATTTGAAATTTAATGCTAAATCAATAACCTGTTTAATAGACCTTCAGTCTATAAATATAAATGTTACAAACAACATTATTTTGAAAAACAAATTCATTTAATATAAAATATATTTTGCAAAATGTTTTGTAGAAAATTCGTGGCCGAAGGGAAAGTGATTATAATTACTGGTAAAATATAATGTTATACCATGTTAAAATATTTATTAACTTATAATAAATGCAACTAATTAAATGATTCTATTTATAGATAGTATAAGTACAATACTGTATAATAATTATTGTTTAAATTGTTATAATAATGTTATTGTTTAAAATGAAATGCAATTACAATTTTAAATGATCATAATTAGGTTGCAATACGGGTATTGGCCATCAACTGGCGCTACGGCTCAACGAACTGGGCTTTCGAGTCTACGCCACTGTATTGGACGCGAACAGCGCCGGAGCCCTGGAGTTGACCAACAAATGCAAACGACCGGCAAATATGTGTGTAATGGGAATGGATGTGACGGACGCCCAACAGATCGCCGGCGCCTACGAAAGAGTGGCCACCGATCTCGAGGCCAATGGTTGTCAATTGTGGGCACTCGTCAACAACGCGGCACTCATTACGTACGGACACATAGAGTGGGGCAATATTGAGGAATACAGCAAAGTGATTGACGTCAACATTGTGGGCACACTTCGGGTAACCAGGGCATTTTTACCACTCATTAGAGTATCGCGGGGTTTGTATAGTTAAATAAATACATTAACTATGTTCAGATTAAACTATCTACGCTAGATAGCGGAATAACATGCATACAATATTAACATGGTACTTTATTCATTCTAACAGGCCGGGTGGTAATAATGACCAGCGCATCTGGCCAATTGAGCATGGACAATTTTGGTGTTTACGGGTCCAGCAAAGCGGCACTCATATCACTGACACATACCCTGCGGCGAGAGATGGGCCGATTCGGTGTGGGGGTGTCTGCGGTGGAGCCCCTGAACTTCCGGACCAATATGGTTGAACTCAGCGACCATATGCTGGCCGACACGTGGGCTAACACCGAGAACCCGGTGCGACAGGCGTACGGCGACAGGTATTACGAGGCCCAGCGGGTGTTTGTGCGCCGATTGAACAAGGTGATGATGAGCGGTACAGACCTGAGCCCAGTGGTGAGCGATATAGTCCGGGCGCTGACTGATTGGCGCCCTAAACGCACGTATAGACCGGCCCCTAACCTACTGTACCGGTTGTGCGCGCCGTTTATGCCGTTGACGAGTCAGTACGCGATGGATGTTATGATTGGCGCCGTCAACACTACTCGACCCGATTTTGTGTTAAAGCAATTAATTTGATTTTATTAATTATATGTTAATTTTTAGTTAATTAAAATTATTTCAACAAAACAGTGTTTATATTTTACAATTTACAATTACAAAATTAATTTATCAACTTTATTGTAAAGTATATAGCGATAATACAAGCTTAATAAATTAATTATTAAATAAATTGTTTATTTAACTGATCTCTTATTTTATGTATTGTTTCCAATATTATTTTGTATATGTAAAGTAAAAGTGAAATATTCCTTAGAATTGATATTTCATTTATTTGTGAAATAAATTCACCTTAATTTTAATCTATGAATTAATAATTGTAACCCTATTTCCATACAAACACTGCCGACAATACACATACATATTGTGCACATATTCCTAGAATAACTCTAATGTACCCAAAGTCACTTAATTTGGTCCCTATTTGAGGTCCACTCAATACAACACATTCATGCAGTCAACTAAAATGTTGTCTAAATAAGACTTTCACACTATTTGTGTGAATCATACAAATTATAACTTTTTAAATAAATTGTAACTTTTTTTTATAAAATGTGTTTTTGAATAAATTAATTACAAGTTAAAGAGTAAAACGACTTATTCTTTACATATAAATATTAATTAGTTGTAATTTTTAGTTGTGCTAAATATTTATTTTCAAAATTATATATTAATTTAAAAATAAATTAAATTTTGATGTTAGAAAATTATAAATATATTTTAATTACTTAAATTAAAGTTTTCATATAATAAAAACTAATTGTAATTTATTTGATATTTATATTTAAAATAATAAACAATAATATTTAGATCCTTGTTAATTTTAATTGTAACGGTATATGAAATTGCAAATGAAAACACTTATAATATTATAATTTTGTAATAAAACTATTTATTAATTATTATTACTTGAATTTATGATGCTATTTTATCATTGCTATCAATATTTATAAAATATGCTTCATGATATTTAACATTTAATATTTAACATAAACTATATTTTCTAGTTTTAACTATGTGAATAATTGTATAGATGCATAGAAACTGCATTTTAATCTTACACCTTATTGTTTGTCTACGTGACATTATGCATGTGATTTTACAATAATAAAATAATTAGGCATGTTACAGTACACGCTGTATGTTTTTGTACAAATTGAACATTATAAAACTTTATGTTAGTTAATTAACTTATGACAATTTATTATTTAAACCAGTATCAAAAATTAATTTTTCAAAACATACAGTAGGTAAAAATTTTGTACATATTTTAAAATAATCTGCTAATAATCAACAAAATTTTCGCTCTGTAAATCACATATGGTAGTTTACTGTAGGTTGTTTTTGGTACGTTATTATCTTTTAGATTATAAGTTAAATTATAAGCACGTCTTAGATAAAGTTGAATTTTTATAATTATGCACATATTCTACAAAATAATATAATGATTATCACAACAATTTTAGAAGTATTTAGCATTAATTAAATAGTAGGTATTGTATTGTTATTCTAAGGCTAAATAGCCACTTTTGACGAGCTTGCTGATTAAGATTAATTTATTGTTTTAAATATAAGTTGAATTATAGCAGCTTTATAAGCGTTGGACGCGATATATTATTAAACATAGCTTTTTATTTGCGAGCATAGTGAATTTAAGTTAATTTACTTATACAACCCTATTGAAATGTCTGGGTCAATAAGTGATTCACTGAGCAATGTTAACTCGCCGTGGTTAACCTACGAGAAAATCATAACCACATTGAATCCGGGCGATTTGATCGAGATCACACGCGGTACATACAGTCACTGGGTCATGTACCACAAACAAGACATGGATGATAATTACTGGTGCTATCATGTTACGCAATTTAATGACGTGGCCAAAATTATGTACGAAACGTTATTCAATATCCTGGGTCGTAGCAAAGAGGCCATGTGTCGGGTTAACAATCAGGATGTTAATGCTCAAAAGAAAAATGTAAAAGTGCGCAAATCGCTACAGACCACTTTCGATGAATTGGCAAGTTCGGCTGAGAAAAGTCAAAGTGTACATTATACAGTAGAGGTAAGACTTAAAGTATAGTAATATAAACTTAATTTGTTTAAATATCTCTCTCATTACTCTCTCTCTCTCTCTCTCTCTCTCTCTCTCTCTCTCTCTCTCTCTCTCTCTC